AAAAGTCATGGAAAAGTCTGGAAATTTTGTCCATGAAAATGTGTGGGAACCCTGACTGTTGGTCTGATAAAACATAACACTTGAAAACGTCACCTAGGGCTCACGAAAATTACACAGCATGGCATGTTTCACTTTTTCTGACATTTTGTTGACAAAATTAATCATGACAATTATAGAGTGCCCCAGTGATGTGAGGTTTTTCTGTAGGCTGATGTGAAAGTTAGTATTGCACCAGTTCCCTCATCAAAAAGCCAACAGGATTTTTCCATTAAAATTTGGATCACTGCAAAAAATAAGCTCTGTGGCAAACCGACTACTTACATGTTTTGTTCAAAAAGATAATCTTCACAAATGAACACCACTTTTACAGTTATTGAAGCCTTAATGCAATCGCCAGAAGTAAAAAGCTATAACATTAGACTATAAACAAACTACACTATGGTCGCATGACCTACCATCACCACCATGGCATTGCATGGGCATTCTGTAGTCTCATTTAGCCATTTGTTAGCAGCCTCCTTTTCAAGACGATTCAAAGTTCATGATGTGTATTTACAGACACATTTTATGACTTAGAACAAAACGTGAAAGTCTCTTAGGCTTGTGTTAACCACAGACACTATTTCTGGCATCTAACCAAAAACCCATTGACTTTGAGACAAGTAAACATAAAGGGTAAATGCAAACTCATTTCTGGGTTTTAGAACTCTGTCCTGTGTCACTCTATTTGCAGATTAATCAAAAATGAAAATAATCATTAGTTGCAGGCCTTAGTTGTTTGTAACTTTATGTCTCCCCTATATATCTCCACTTGTAATAGCATTAGGTAAAGCACAGTATGCATTTTGTGTGTAAATGCATGAGCCACCGCAAGATTTGTCATCCCAGATTTATTGATTAAATTGTCTGTTTTAATTGTTAGGATTTTTGGCATTTTTTGGATAAAATCAGTATTATCTAAATGTTATCACTGTCTGTTTTCAGACCATACTGAAATATAGTTTGAATGTGCTTTTCTAAACTGCTCTTGCTGACCATCTTGTGTGTTTTGTTTAGGCTACCTGCTGTCCAAAGTGGAAGAGAAGGTTGGCTCACCAGAGAGGCCTCTGTCTGACCTCGGCCTCATCAGTTACCGTAGCTACTGGAAGGAAGTGTTACTAAGATACATGTACAATTTCCAAGGCAAGGAGATCTCCATCAAAGGTGAGTGAGGACACAGAACTCAAGCAGGTGGCCCACATGTCTTGCTCTGCCACTGTTAAAGGTCCTGTGTATGACCTTCAGAGCATTGATAAAGCAGCAAACACCTGTTTGCTGTGTAAAGATATGGTGGAGTAATGGTGTCCCGAGCAGAGAATGAAGTCACACTCCCTGTGTCTTTTGTAATCTGAGCTTCTCTGTTCTTTGTTGTTGTAGCTGGTCAAGTTGCGTTCACATTAGTTCATGTGTGCATCCTACTGGTTAGCTCATCTCCACCTTTCTGTCCTCATATACCGATTATTGCTGACAGCGTCGTCCTGACCTGGAGGCGGGACTATGTTGTCACAGAACTCTAACGCCATACCTCAAGTTCCCCTCAGATCAGCACTTTTGCAATTGTCAGCACCGTTTGCTAGGACTGCAACTAAACTATTCTTTTCATTGTCTATTAATCTGTCAGTTATTTTCTCCATTAATCGATTAGTTGATCAGTGTTTCCTAAAGCCCAAGATGCCATCCTCAGATGTCCTGTTTGTCCACAACCCAAAGATATTCAGTTTACTGTCATAGAGGAGTAAAGAAACCAGAGTGTTCACATTTAAGAGGCTGTAATCAGAGAATTTTGACATTTTTTTTCCTTTAAATTTTACTTAAACAGATTACTCAATGACCAAGTTAGTTGGAGATTCATTTAATTGTTGACAACTAATCAATCAATTATTGCAGCTCTACTGTTTGCGCTGTTATCACCGTTAGCTGTGAGCCACCAGCTAAGCCACCTCCATGTTGAGAGCTGTGTGCAGACAATTCTGGCTCAGACTCTGAATCACAGATATGCTCTGAATGTCATATACATCTCCTTTAAGATAAAATACAAAATGTTTGTAACATGTAGCTTGGTTGAGAAAGCTTTATTAACACATAAAAAGATCATCTTTTAACATACACATGCTTATACACAACATATTTACTGTTGTAATATTTGTGGATCCGCAGAGATTAGTCAGGAAACTGCAGTCAATCCGGTGGACATTGTGAGCACCCTGCAGTCTCTCCAGATGCTCAAATATTGGAAGGGAAAGCACTTGGTGTTGAAGCGACAGGTAAGATGTCGGCCCATTGGCCTCTTCAGATTGTCTGTCGTTTTTTACTGTTGAGTTATCATTTCTCTAAATAATTTTACAAAAACAAAATGTTCATTTTAATAGATCATGTCGACAGAATCCTCTTATGCAACTGAAAAGTTAATTCTGAAGTACTTTAACTTTCTCTACTGGTCATACAAATCATATTAAGGATAACTTAATATGCCACACACAACAGGCTGTGATGGAAGCACACGGGGCAACTGAACACCATCACTGTATGTCCATTAAAGTGGTTACTTTCAGCACACACTCAGGCTCAGATTGTTATTATAAGGGGCTCAAGTGTCTCTTTACCTTTCACTTGATCTGGTCTGTTTATTATTGCCTCATTAAGCAGAAGTGTCCTTCTGAAATATCACAAGATGTCACTTGTTGCAGACAACAGTGGAAAACGAGTGAGATTTTGAGAGAGTATAATAACTGGAGTAGTTTATAGAAAATGTATTTTAGTGTATGTTTACATCTTGTTGATGCTTGTTGTTATTACACTGTCCCCTTTGCTGCTGTAACACAGCAAATTTCCCAGCTGTGGGAATGAGAGATGATTATCTTTTTAAAAAAAGACTGTGTACATGGGTTCGTACAGTAACTAACATTACTATCTTCATTTATTGCCACAGGTTTCTCCTTGATGTATAGGAAGAGCAAATATAGACGTAAAATATAATGAATATATATCATAGGTCGTATTATACCGACCCTTCATACATATACTCCAGGTGACAGAAATACGGGTAGAGGTCAAATTCAAAAGCCTCATTGAAATGGGGTAAATAATCATCCACCACATTGAATATCTTTAAGATAACACTAAACTATGTTTACTATAGACTACTCCAGTTATTATACTCTCCAAAGCTCACACACATTTCCACTGTTGTTCTCCTGCAACAAGTGACATTTTGTGATATTTCAGAAGGAGACTTCTGCTTAATGAGGCAATAATAAACTGACCAAATTAAGTGAAAGGTAAAGAGACACTTCAGCCTCTTATAATAACAATCTGAGCCTGTCTGTGAATGAAAAATGAAAATAACCACTTTAATGGACAATGGTGTTCAATTGTCTTGTATGCTTCCATCACAGTCTGTTGTGTGGTTGCTGGCCGCTGCCCGCTCCCTCAGTACTGGACCAGTTTCAAAAACTGTTCAGTCTCTGACGGGGAAATATGATCCAGATTGAAAAATGTTGAAGTTATCCTTTAACTTGGACATTTTCTGATGTTGTTTTGTATATTACAGTAAATATTTGACCAAATTCTAAGACATTACTGTGATGATGATACTCCTAATGCATTTTTCCTGTTATAAGTAAGGGATAACGTATAATGAGCCGGTGAATACTGGGAAAATAACTCCCGACAGGGTGCGTCAGGGTTTTATTCCCCTGAAGGGAGTTATTTTCCCAGTATTCACCGGCTCATTATACATTATCCCGCTTATTACACCGCTAATTATCAGTTAAATAAATAATGTTGTCTGCCTCCGCGAAGTGCATTAAAACCGACCGGATTCGACAACTTTTGGTGAAAGTTTTGTACTCACCAAGGCTTAGTGGACTGAACCGAGGCATAAAACTCGCGTAAAATGTCATTAAGCATGACTGCCGAGTGTGTATTCAAATCCGTGTTCTTTTGTTTTTGGCAGAGAAAGTCCGTATTCTTATTCTTCAGCGGCATCCCATTCCTCAAAATCCTTATAGCTACTCTCCAAATAAGTTAAAAGAAATGTTAAAATCAGCCACTTCACTTCAACGCTGGGCTACATAGCAACTGTGTACTGACCGTTGCTACTAGCAACGGTCATTACACAGTAATATCAGACCGCTGAATGCCGTGACTGACCAATCAGAATACAGCATTTAATAGAGCCGTGTAATAAATGATAGTAATGCAGCTTTGCGTGAATGTAATCACCCTATTTGACAGCCCGGTTTGTTCTTTTTCTCCCTCCTAGGACCTGATAGACGAGTGGAAAGCGAAGGAGATCAAGCGCGGCAATAGCAATAAAACCATTGACCCGAGCTCACTAAAATGGACGCCTCCCAAAGGGACATAAGCACTAAGATCCTCAGGCTACTGAATGAACTCACCTCCAGCCTCACCAGCCACAAGTAGCCTCGACCTACGAACTGTCAACAAATACCAATGTCCATTCTTTCTTTTATGATTTTACCCTGCTTTATTTGTAACTGAACTTTTTTTTTTTTTACTTTTATATTTTACTTTCCTTTAGACTTTTAAGCTCCATACGTTCCAAGTCCAATGATTGTTGACTTTAACATTGTCAATTAACAGCAGAGAATCTTTGTCCTATTTTAAAACTGCCTACATCTACTAAGCTTTGAATGTTAAATGATAAATGGTCCAGTGTGGTGGATAACATGAATGTTTTTGCTTTGCTCATGCAAAATAATACATACCTTTAGCAGCATTTACAGGCTGTTATTTTTATTTCCTTTAAGAAATGTGCGTTTTTGAAGATGGTAGATGTTTTTGTTTTGTTTGATTGTTTTTTGGGATTAACACAATAATTGTTAGCATGAATTGATCAGTAAGCAGAGTGTATTTTGAGGAGTACGATGTATGGTAACGTCTTTGGTTGGTGTAAAATTGTATAGATCTTAATAATGTGTACTTTTTTTCTAGCTCCATCAATACAGGATTTGGACCCATTCCTCTGATGAACCTGCCAAACAATGGAAATAATGAATTATAGATATTTTTAATTTGCTCAGAATATGATTAAAAAAAAATGACAATACCACTGTAAGAGTGCACATAGAAATAAAACAACCTCAGGTTTTTATACTGATACAATCATACCTTGCTTGAGTGGTTTCTCCGAAACATCGATCGCAGTGGTTGTCGCAGGTGGAATCCTCCTGGTTAGAGATTCTGTAATAAACAGAAAACCTTTCAACTCAACATTTCAGTGGGACTGTATTTGCCTTGTAATTTGAATCATAGCTGTTAAATGTGTATTAGCAATTTGATATTTTTAATATCATTAAAGCTGCTTTGATATTTTGACACGAGTGTTGGTGTTTGTGCTCACCGCCACTGGAAATGCTTCTTCCCATCAGACCCACAAACACTTTTTTTCCTACAAATGTGAGAAAGTTCACACTTACAAAGAAGCAGTTTTGTGGTTGTAATGCAATAATTATACTACAGTTACTAAGGCTAGTGAGGAGGAGGTTGGTACAGGCTGCTCTCCCATATATTCCAATCGCCTTTGGCTGATAATGTGGGTAAACAGCCAGAAAAAGAGGTGGCTGTATATCTGCGTATACCCTCCATGACACCAGTGAGTCTGAAAGTAACATCAAGCTACTTACGTCTGTCTGCACTGGAAGGTTTCTTTATTCCTAAAGGGAAAAAAGAAACCAAAATCAGAAATGTATTTATAGTCATGTACCACCCCAAACCACAGGTCTAGAAAAGGGGACATTTAAAAACTTTTTCATGCATAGATGAGATTAAAGGCCACCTGAGCGTTTCCCCATGAGTCCATAGAAGCGAAGGGCTTTAGATCTTTTCATCAGAGTGGCCATCGGGTGGATCAGACCTGCCTCCAGTGATTCATCCTGCCAGGAAAAATCCACACTTTTGATATATTTTTTTGTAGTTAAAAAAATAAAATTGGGATTGTGCCACACAGAAATGAACAGGTGCACTGTTTTACCTAATTTTAGTAGGTAGTTACATTTTTATTTTAATAGTTACATGCATTTACTGTCTTCATTTATTTTTGACTAAACAAAAATACTCAAAAAACAAAAAAGGAAATAGGGAATTGGTTTAGAATTGTAAACATTTACCTGCCACTCTTTGGGCAACCCTCTCTCCTCTTCCGCACTGGAAGACAGTGCCTGATCGATTTGCACCAAAGCACAAAAAGTCACAACAAGAAGCTGAATCTTCCACTTATCCATCTCTTGGCTTTGCTTCTGTATCTCCTCAATCAAAGCAGCTTAAAATAAATTCAAAGATGATATGGTGCAGATGTGATTCAGTGCTATTCTGTCTGCGCCAACTGTACACAGGGTGCATTTATACCAATGCACCCCACGCTGCTCAACTCCTCCCCTCCCAAACACGATAACACACGTCTACATGGCATTTGGAAACACCCAGATTTAATATATTTCAATAGGATGTCTCTTTTCAGCTCAGGTACTGTACTGTAAGTACTTTGCAGTTACTGCACATTCAATATTTAATGAATCAATTGAACACTGTGTTCCTTCTGTTGTTCTACAGGTGGAGCTAAGTGCGTAGGTTTAAACGGGGGACAAGGGGGTCCTCTGCATCAATTTATGGTGTAAATGTCTCTAATTTTGTCAAAATAAAACTCTTCTTCTACCTCCATGTGTTTTTTCGGGTGGGTGGGGTTGCATATGTTGCACACACAAAAAATCTACATCCATGGTTGGAGCTAAGATGTCATACAATAATATACAAGCCAAATTCTAAGAAAGCCCCCGCATGTTCAATAATATTAAAGCTTAAATATTTACATTTGACATGCTCACCTTTCATTTCCATTTTTATTAGATAGCAGGATCGCCACTGGTGTAATTATATCCTCGTGACGTGCACATGCTTCTTTGATATGACCGAGGAGGAGGAGGAGGAGGAGGGCAGGACATGCAGGCGTGCAGGGTCTTTGACTGATGCTTTGCAAATATGACCATATGCTTTGAAGCGAGTGCTTTATTGGTTAGCCGACTGACTTGGGCAGCTACTTCTTGATTTATGAAGCTGGGACACGACACTGATGTGACCTCTGACCTCAGATCTGTATATTAAGACTAGTGTACTGAAAGTTGCATGTAACATTAACAGTCAGGGGTCAAGCAGATAATGAAAAAAGTGGCTATTATCTATGAAAGCCTGCAAATGGACAGTTGACATTTCAAGTGCAGTGGAATATGTATGAAATGTGTTGCATGTCAAAGCCTGAATAATGTCAATATTTGTACATTTTTGATCATGTGATATGTCTGTAGGGTTCTTCATTTTCCATCTCCGGAGATGATAACACTGTTACTAAACCTTTTTATGATTTTTTAGTAACTTAAATGCTCTGTTCTAATGAAAGAACTCCCGCTATAGAAATTTTTTGAGAGGCTATTACTTAACAATCCATGCGCTGTAAGGACGCCCACTCGAAACAAAGCTGACACACACAAATGACAATCAAATGCTTTGATCCGCACACAGGTGCTTCTAAAAGCAAGAAAAGCCCCGGGAAAATTAGGCCTGAAAGGCAATTACACCTGAACAGCCCCTCATGCGCACATATAACCCACGGCTAACATGGAGTGCCAAATCAAAAGAAATCAGAGGCACAACATTTGCATATGAAATGGTTTAGTCACAAAGAGCTCCTGTAATGACACAACACTGTATTTCCATGAGACGCAGGGGAACGGTTCGGTGGGCCATATTGGGGTTTGCACTCCTCACTGCTGGTGACTCAGTGCAGGTGTTGAGTCTGGTGTTAACCTCATACATTTCACCTTTAAATATGTGACTCCTTAAGTGTTTCTTTGTTGATCTATAATCTTATATGACATTTCAAGTGATGCACAGCAAGTGTAGTCATTTGCATGGGCCTTCTTTAGAGAGCTTTGATTCTGATGAGCCCAGAAATATGATACCTTGATTGCTGTGGATCACCTTGATGGGATATATAATCAGCCAACCTGGTTTCTGTAACAACTGTAACCTGACAAGTTTAATTATAATTGCTTTTTATGCGTGTCTGGATCATGCTTGGTTGAAGAGATTGACTGTGCAACATGTGCATCATGCGTCACTATAATGTATTGTTATTGGTTTTTATTGAGGAAATGATATAAAGAGTCTATCTCATATCCCCTGCTATCAGACTATCCTTAATTTAGCCAATTACAGGTTGTCCCCTGTTTGAGTTGGCTATGATTTTGAAGTGTTGACTTTACCTGGATTACAACTTTATCAACATGGGCCAGCTCATCAAGTTGAGGTTTTAAATGTGCACTCTACAGATTTTAGACACAAAGTTCAGTTTACTCATCATTTATATTATTATTTTATTACTTCAGGGACATTTTTATGCCTTTATTGGATTGCTGAGTGTGGAGAGATAACAGGAAATGAGGGAAGAATGAGATAACAGACACAGGTCCCATAGCCGGACAGGGGGGGAAGGTGGACTATTGCATGCAATGTTTTTGTAAATTATTGATAACTCAGAACACTGCTTTGTCACGTTTTGACCCATCCACCCGATATGAACCCGATTTTCTATTAAGCCTTACCAAACTCGCCAATGACTGCAGGTGGATCGATCTGCGGCTCACATCATAGTGGCAGCTGGATATCTTTTAAACCTCTGCCATCTATACATCAAAATGAAGCTTAAATTCTGTAGTTTTTAGCTGTAGTCTATGTTAATTTCCTCTATTTCAAAAACACAGTCAAAATATTAATAAATGCAAATACAGCATCATTGGAATTTAAGATTTTTCCCTTCAACTGAAGGATATTTTTTTATACATCATTATTGATAATTGTTCCTATTTACAAAGCAAAACTGAATCTTTGCATTTATGAACCTTTTTGTCAGTTGTTTGATTGAATGTTTCCCAGTTAACAGGGTGGTGATGGGGTTTCAGAGAGTTCATAAAACTTAGATAAAAATAAAACTAAAGATAGATAGCTAGATGAAAAGTGGGCTACAGTACGAGGATGTGGAAATATATTTCATAATAAATTATATGCCAATATTAAATCTATCTGAAGCATTAAAGGCACAACAATTTTATTGCCAATGAATATAAGGTTAGAGAAGACAACATCTGCCCGATTTAATGGAACTTCCGGTAAAAGCCACACCCACTTCAGGTCCTGTATCTGAATACACATACAGGGACAGATAATTTTTTTGCTTGAACTGATACAGATGATGATGTCTCGGTGGACAGAGGGGTTGTTATAGCAGGGCTGGCACAGTAGCAGTATGTCAAAACAACATAGCAACAAATAAGCTAATAATACCTTGCTTTAAAAATTTCAATATTAATGATGCCAGTAAAAAATTAAAAAGTAAAGTATAAATAAATAAATGACAATTGAAATTGAAAGAAGGTACTTAAAATTACAGTGATGATGATGATGATAATAATAATAATAATAATAATAATAATAATGATAATGATAATAATAATAATAATTGAGTATAATTTTTACCTAACTTTTGTCTTTTTTCAAAAAAAACCCCAAACAAACAAAAAAACCACAAACAAAAACCAATTTTTTTTTTTTTTTAAACAATTTGTGGGACATTTCTTACCAAGTTGCTCATTGCCTTTCCCCCCATGTTTCTGGAAGAAATCGCACCAATTAGCTGAAGGTCCAGAGGTTTAAATGGTTGTGAAAGGCGTTTGAAAGCAACACAAGAAAAGTGATGTCGCTCCAGGTTTCAAAGGGTTAAATCAATGGGTATGGTGCTGTAGGTTATATGAGTGTCCTGAGATAACTTCTGTTTTTTGATACTATATAAGTAAAATTAACTTGATTTGACATCGGTCCTTTGAGCCAGATTTTTATTGAACAATAAGGGCTGTCAAGCTCAGATAAGGTGTATCATGGATTTCTTTTAATTCATTTTTTTATTATGTAGTAGCCTAAAACTACACATTCACATCAGTTATAGACTTATACAATTTTAAGTTAATCTGCAATATGCATTAATGTAGATTTGTTAAGGTTTGCGTCATTTAGTTTTTGTAAAAGATTCGAAACTTTATTTAAATCTTTGCAGAAGAAATAAAACCTGACAATGCATTATCATTATGATATGCATTTAGTTTAGCCAATAGTAACATGGAATATAAGACGACCGTGAGACGTCCCGCCAATCAGTGACAGTGGGCGGGGCTTCGTCGCCAGCCATGATATTGGAGCGCGAGAGGTACGGAACAGATATGACACCCCGCCGGGATAGAGCTTTGAAACAGTTAAAAAAATGAACAACAGTGCAACCACATGAAGAACTGTCTGTGTGGGCTATAGTTATAGTTAGTACAGCTTTAGCCTACGTCGACTATATTAATAAAAAGGTTGCACTTGCCCTAATTAATGATGGTGACTGATTTGATTCATCACCCGGCGAGCAGCGGAGTGACCCAAATCAAACACGGCAACAGGTGCATTCTGGGTGTGGCTAGCATGCTAAACGCTAACAGGCTGTTGGACCTGTTGGGCCTATGTGTTGCGGTGATTTTCTACATTCACTGAGGAACTTTTACCTTTAGTTAGGTGTGTGAGGCCTTTCTGCTGTCTGTTTCTGCAGAGCCTCAGTCAGCTTAGCGTGTTTGTAATCTCAGAGGAGCGCCATGGGACAGAGGGGCTGAGTGGACTGGTTATACTGGGACAGAGAGATGGAGAAGACTGGTTATATTAGGCTTTAATAATGAAGGAGCAGAGATGAACCTGGAGCACATTTTGGAGGACCTCGCGGTGCTCAAGACTTACAGAGTGATGTTCGGGTGAGTAAAACAAACTACCCCAAAGAAAGTCTACAACCACCTGGCAAGGTAGCATTGTGTGTGTTCTGGTCATATTGGTGGGAAAGAAAACCCTGTGCCTTGCTTTAGTATGTGTGTTTATGAGCTGTAGCGGATGTGACGTTTATATTGTCCATGTTGTCTGCCCTGCTGCTTTTATTCTGCTATTGAGTCCTTGTTGTAGACTGTCTCGCTTAACGACACTTGATGCATCCACCACAATGGCCACAGCTCTTTTTTTGATTGCTGATTAAAGTATTGAGTTTTTTTTGCTAATTCTAGTGAGGCTATACAGACTAAGTTGATGTGTATCTATAGTTGATAAACAGTGGTATGCATAGGCGGATTATGAGACAGTGGGCCCCAGGGCCCAGGCATGCAGAAGGCCCCACCACCTCTCCTACACAGGAGCAAGACACACAGACTTTACAGTTGTTTTTAGCCTT